TTGTGGTGTTTCCTGTAACTTGGAGCATTGCATCAATGGGTGTTGATTTTATCCCTCCAGTAATTAGTCGTAATGCTTGGTTGTGTGCCTTCTCGAGGGGTTTGAGAGTCACCTCTGTGGCTGTAATGAGTGGCTCACAGCAATACAACATTATTGGCTGAATAAACATCTTGTAAGTGGTGTTTAGAGTTGAGCGCGCACAGCTCCATACACTACCAGCAAGACGCTTCAGGACATTCAGTCTATTGGAGACGCGTTCTCCTATTTTAGCAATGTGACTTTTCCACGTTAGCTTTGTGTCAAACGTCATTCCGAGATAGGCGAACTCATTGGTTTTTTCTAGGGTAATATCCTTTAACAAAACATTGACTAATGACAATTAATCCATCGCCAACAGCATAGCAGACCACCGGGTTTAACAAAATGCAAAAGGTTTCCATATAGAATTCATTTAAAATTGCATCAGAAACAGAAACTGTTTGGAGCTCAATCATCTTTCCCCTCCGCCATGGTGAAAGACTCTATGCACCGTCAAATTAGGTTCACAAAAATCTCGAGTTTAAAGCTTGTGACATTAATTGTCCACAATTTCTATTCAGGGTTTAAAGGATGTAACCTTGATAGAAATTAAGAAAAGGAGTATATTAGCTATTTCAAACTAACTTTAATTACGTTCCTCCCTGTCTGGGAAAAATGAGTTAGGCCTAGCGCTCACTGAGTTCATTTTAAATAGGTCCATTTTATTGCAACTCATTCACTGTGAATAGGTCAATACCTAGTGCACTCTTATCAATAATTTCTATTGATCAAGAATAAACATGTTCAGAATTTGGTCAGTTTATAAAATGGTGTGAATAACCACAATAAGGGAAGTCTTCTCCTTCAATACTTTTGATGCAGTCATTCATTGAATTTTAAAATAAACCAACTTGTAACCATTTCGTGCTTGCAAGTTTTTTACCCAGTTTTACAAAACTAGGATATCTCTTGGCATCACCCCTGAGTTTCAGAAAATTTCCATGAAATGCTCTCTGTAAACATTTTCGAAATAGCTTTAGTTCAACTTCGGTTAGCATTTCAGAACAAAGCGTCCTAATTTTACGAAATCAATGAAAGTGGTGTTTGTAAACGAAATTCTCTGAAATAGCTAATGCCAGGTACAGACAACAGAAAGACAAGACAACAACTGTAGCACAGCAAGTATTTGCGCACCAAGATTATACCACACATCCATTTCACCGGACAGGGTTCGGACATCGATTATGGTCTGTCCAAGGAAATCATCTGATTCGGAAGTCAGTTTAGATCGCAGCTTGGATCTTAGATCGTTATCCTCATCCCTGCAGCAACAATTTCGTAAAATTTACTAAAATATCACTTATATTATGGAATCACTTAAATTACTGCTTTGTAATGATTAATTTTTGTTTAAAACTAAATAGCTTAAATTAATTGAAAGTTGATTTCGAAGACATTTGAAAATATTTTCAATAAATAAAAATTATAAGAAAAATTTCGAGTATCAACCCAAACCGAGGATCGTCTATTTAACGTTTAATACCAAAGTGGACAAAACAACGGGTACAATAGAGCACAGTTTTTAGAGGGAGCATTAAGGTAAACATATGAATAATTTACACGAATCAGGTTCAAGCCTTAATAAATGTGTCCTTTTCCAAACCTTTAATCATTAATTTTCTTTGTTTACATGCCAGATGACATTCCATGAGAAACATAATCCTGACATGGTTACTTCAAAAAAAAAATGAAATTAAACACAATATAATCCATTAAAATAGAAATTTTGCAAATAGGGTGTAGCCACATGTCTTAGTGTACCTATACTTTTTCGAAATTGGCATTTTACTTGGGTCAATGAAACTGAAAATTCTAAAAATACGCGACATTTTATAGAAACGTTGAGACCAAAGTAATTAGCTTGCAGGATTAGTTGCCAATTAAAAAGAACTAACCGAGAAAAAATTTTATCCCTCCAAACAAAATGGCTTTAAAGGGTGTTTCTGATAATAAGTACACAGAACAACTTAATGTTCTCATTCATATGTGCAATAACATAAAATTGCTAAAAGCCCAAAACACAGCAATAACATACCAAACACGAATCTTGATTCGGTCTGTCCCATTGTGGCATTCACTAGAATCAAATAAGAAGTAATAATTTAAAACAAGTGAGGTATTCTAATAGTTGAGGCAAGTGGTATTTTTATAATGTAAATACAAGTAGAACTTCTCATTCCAAACTGGATTGAGTTCCTGCGGCACGGTTTTCGTTCGCTTTTTAACTTTCCCAACTTGGACAGTGACGTAGGGATCACTAGTTCCCGTTTTGTCCTTTCCTATTAAGCCTTGAGCGCATTTCACTGAAAAGAGAAGATAGGAGAGAGTAAAAAATAGTTAGTCAAGAAAGGCAAATAGCAGATTTGCTAAAAGTGGATTTTAGACGCTGCCTTACATGACTCAAAGGAGTTGAAATAAGGGATCGATTTTACAAGGCCAATATGAAATTAGAAACTAAAATGAACCTATCAGATGTTTTTTTCACTTTAATACGCAAGATGGCTTGAAAAACTTGCCAAATCTAGTAGAAAAAAGTAGTGGAAAGTGTCGCTATGATCCGCACCAAGAACTGTCATACGTATTCTTCGCCACTATATCTATTTACATAGATGAAAGGTGAGATATGCAATCAACGGTGACGAAAAATCATATCACCTTACTGAATTATATGTATTTTTGTTGTTTTTTTTATCGAATAAATTGTTGAGTCTAGCAACATAGAATCGTGTTAAGCAAGTTTTTATGCGGATATAAATCTTGAAATAACACTTTTTGTAATTTCACTATTGTTTTCGGGAAAAATCGACTCTCAAATGTAGATTCATATCTGTCCTATTTGAAGAAATTTGAGTAATACTAAAATATGTTGCGTAAATAAGATGAAGATTATTTTCAATGAAATATTCAAACATCACAGCTTCAAAATTTTCAAAGACTATTTGAATTACCCAAATAAAGATTATGATTTCAACTTGCATATTTTTTAACTAATTTACTTGAGACAAATACCAACCGAACTCAAAAATTATACCTTTTCAACAACATGATGGGAAACTCTCTAAAACCAATTAGCGATAGGTTAACATTTATCAAAAAGCACAATTGGATTTGTATCACCTTTCTTATCTAGCAACTCTGAAACAAAAATTTATGAAAAATTTAAAACAATTAGTTTAATTAATTTCAAAACAAATTTCCTTTCCTTCTTTTGCAAAAAACTGAAGATAGCTAAAGTGCATTAAAACAAAAGTTAATGAAATTACAGAGAATTATATATTTTGTAGAATTAGTACACATTTATAGCATAAGTGTTAAAGAATTAAAGAAGGATGGAAAAGCACTTTTGGAAGGAATTAAAAACGAGAATTATCTTACCAGTAATGGCAATTTTTGCTGACCATTGACTAGTTCCATCAAGAATATTCTTTTGAGCCTGTTGGAGATTTTGTTTATGAGTGTCGGTAACCTTGAAAACTTTTCCGACCAAATCAAAGAGCTCTGGTTTAGTCCGAATTCGTTGACGCATCAATGAGGACATGGCCTGCTTGATACTCTGAGTTCGATCCTCTGCTCCGTGCTTCACGGACTTTTCAGCGGCTCCTAAGAGGTTGAACAAAATATGTTACACCTTATTGTTTTCAGGGGTCATTAGGTATGGTCTTGAAGGAAAACAAATTATCTTGTAACTTTAGATGGAAAATGTTTATTGAGATCGCATAATGAGCCTGATAATTTGATCAAATTGTAACTTTTATAAATGGCAGATAGGGGTGCGTGATAGACTTACCTCCACGTGGTGCACCCTGGGCAACGTATACTCATACGACAAAAAAGTTTATTAACTGGCGATTGACTTCTGGCGCAGTACTCATCCTACCTTTTCTCTGCCTTCATGTCTGTCTCTTTACATCTTTAAATCACTTTTCTGTTCCCCACCCCTCGATTTTCTGTTACTTTGATGTTCCTCCCCCCTGTGAAGTCCGAAGTCAGTTAAAGGGCTAATGATAAATATCAAAACACCTGCCATTTGAAATAAATAAATAAATGGCAGATATGAACTTACTCAATTTTCTGGGGTGGTTTTAAGTTAAGAAAATGAATAAAACATACTAAATCTGA